CAATTATAAGTAACTGTTTTTTAAACAAAACTTTTTGAATCTCTACTAAACAAATTTCCAAAATTGTTTCTGAAATAAGATTTTGAATTTCGGGTATTAATATCTCTTTGCAGTTAACGTACGGCTTTGTTAAAACAATGACCCCCCCCCCCCTACTTTTTTTACGGCCAAAACCAGCACTAACATTGTACCCATTAATATTGAGTCTCTCCAACGATGGACTCACCATTTTCTGCTCCGACAATACAACAATACTAGGGTTCAACTCATCTAGAGTGATCTCCAATGGATCAAGTGAAGACTGGATTCCTCTAATGTTTTGATGTAAAATATTAAAATTATTCAATTTACCTATTTTATTATTACATTTTCCTGACTTAAAGCTAAAAAAGGTTTTTCGGGTCTTTGAGCTTCATTTTCTTCGTGAATTTCACTTGACACTGCACTATTCCCCGAATTGACTTTATTACCCCCCTTGTCACACACTTTTGGAGATCTGGGAGTTTTAGTTGCTTCCAATTTTATGGCATCTACTATTTGTTTCCGAAATTCAGGGAATGATAAACCATTTCTAAGATTATTTTTTGACATTTCATTATGAGTTACAATTTTAACAAAGGCACCAGTACTGCGCTGACACTTAGTTATTTCTGCTGCAAAGTGACGTGGAAGTATACGGTCCCTAACACAGCCGAGTGGGAAGCAAATGAAAGTGTGGAAATCTCTTTTTTTTTTACTATCAGTTAGATTTTCAAAAGCCAAATTATAAATTTCGGGATAGGGTTTATTGTAGTATCGGGGCTTAGTTACTAGACTGTAAATTACTGCTTCATTTTGTTGTTCTTGGCATGTTAAATATTTATTGCAATAATCAGAACTTGTCGGTTTTCCATAAATGTCCTTAAAGCTGACTGCCACACCTTGACTCATTTGTTTATTGCAGGTGAAATCGGCAGAAATGCAGTGTCCGAAAGCAACTTTATCATTAGTTTTGTAAATATTAATGACATCTTTCATATTGGCATAAATTATAGAAATTTTATCAGTAATATTGTATTGATTTAGCTGGTCTTCTGCAAAAATGGAAATAGGCGTTTCTTTGATATCCGGAACAGGAGTATAATCAGTATTTGAAGTCGATGGCTGAGCGTTGAGGGTCCATTTTGTCACAGAACTAATAATCATGCGGGCTACATTTTTTCTACCAATGTTGCTCAGGTGGAGGCCATGTCTGTTGTAGTGAAAACGCTTTAGCTTACTCAGGTCTATTAAATATGTGTTTTCAATTCTTGATACCAGTTCTCTTATATCTAACAATTAGCATGGATTAAATCTGAAGTGGTTTTGTCATAAGATGGTTTATCATACCTGGTAGGAATTGTAGTGATGAATGTTGGTCGTAGTTTGCTTAAATGTTTTAATTTTGATTCTAGTTTTGAGTAAATATTATTTAAGCTAGAATAAAGGCTGTCATTAGTTCCCCCGATGATTACGACTGGCGTTTTTTCCTCGATTGTGGTGGAGTCAACAAAGTTGCATTCGCTCTGACATAACCAAAGGCACAGATATTACCCTGACCAAAAGATTCAACCTTGCTAGCAATACTTCTACCTTGACTATCTGAACAGACAGTTATTTTTATTCTTTGCTTAGAAACATTTGTTAATTTATAGTTTATTTGTTTCTTTTTACTTGTGTAGGTCTTGAGTTATTCCTTTTGTCGTAACTTGAGCGCTTGTAGTTCTTTTCAGCATCCTCACAGTTGTTATTCATAACAAGGGAGTCCTGGTGCGTGGAATTTTCTTGAAAGATACTGAATCTGTTTTGTGTTGGAATAACTGGTTCAACGGACTGATGACACTCTCTTAATAACAACTGTGAGGATGCTGAAAAGAACTACAAGCGCTCAAGTTACGACAAAAGGAGCAAAACAAACTCTCAAAGTTATATATTTTGCATATATCCACTCAAGTATATCTTTTGGGATTTCACTTTATGGTTCAACTAGTGATTACAATTTGAATTCTATTCTAAAAAAGCAAATAAAAGCTATTAGAATCATCTGCAATTTAGATTTTGAAACTTCTGTTATTGAAGAACATTTTTAATCAGAAAATATAATGACAATTTACGGAATGTACGATTTTGAAACAATTTTATCAGTAAAGGACAGACTTCATGAATTGGAACGAGTTGGGGATAGTCATAATTATTTCACCGGAAATCGGGAAAACCTTGCAATTGGCCACCATAGTCTAAAACTTTTTGAGAAAAAACCCATGTATGCGGGATCAAAATTTTATAATAATCTCCCAATCGAAACTAAATCAGAGACTTCCAAAACAATATTTAAAAATAAATTTAAAAGATTTCTCATCAGCAAGGCTATATTTTCTTTTGAAGAGTTAAATAGTCTTTGAGGTCAAAAACTAATTCAGGATATGTATTTTTTGTTTACAATTTATTTAAAAAATACCCCCGCAGCAGCAAACCTGCAGACTAAGCGAATTTCCATTTGACTGATTGGATTTATACTGAAATGTCTACTTAAAAATATAACATCTATTCCCGATTTAAATAGAATTAGTTTAACAAGTACTTAGGTTTGCTGCATCAGGGAGGGTAAAACTGTTTTTTTTTTTGTAAAATGTTAATAGTTAGTAAGAAATAAAAACATTTTCCAAATTTGATCAAAATATGTTCATAAACAAGCAAACTACAACAGTTTACTTATTCTCCATAAGAATAACATGGGAATTTTAAATTAAAAATTTTTGGGAATTTTCTCCGTAACCATTAGGCGCATAACAACGCTTCAATATACTAAATTATTTGTTTTTTTAAGCTCTTCAAAATGGTTTGGAAAGAAATTGCTAAATTTTATGTTTTTTGGGTCAAAAATGGGAAAAACCTATTTTTACCCCATAAAACCCCCCGTAAACCCCCGTTCCCATAGTCCGATCATGCTGGATCGTGAACTCGTTCGAATAAATGTAGGTTTACACGTTTGTACCAAATTTCATCAAAATCGGATCATTTTTGCTCGAGTTATCGTGCTAACAGACACATATATATATATATATATATATATATATAAATTAATAAATGAAATAAATAATTAAACATTTAGTACCCTTTTTTTTTAGTTATTAATTTATTGAATAAACTTACATGTTTCGGCTCTTAGGCCATGATCAAATATATATATATGAATTTGAACGGATGGTGTTTTTGGCCTCTAGGGACCTCAAAACGAAAAAAAAATCGGTCCCGCGTCCAGGTCTTACCATGAGTACTACGGTAATAGCTTATTCCCTATATTCCCTATATGGGAAATTCGCTAATACTACGGTAATAGCTTATTCCCTATATGGGAAATTCGCTAAAATGTAAGTTTGTGAAATTTTGTTTTTATTTTCTTATGTTAGAAGTGTATTTAATAAATATTAGGCCTACTTGCAGCTGAACTGTTGACACTATTCAATGTATTTTGTACAAGAGATGAATAAAGTAGTTATGAATTGAATTGATTTGAATTCCTTTCTTGTTATTTATTTGTCAAATATCAATTAAAATAACGAAATCGGCTTAACGTTTTCTACTCGACTCGAGTTGCGAGTATCTTTAACTATTCTACTGGACTGTCGAGTATTGCCAACTACTCGAGTAACTCGCCCACCCCTAGTCTTTACTAGCCCGAACGTATCGGGGAAGCCCAGACGCATAGGGTTTGCCCCCGGTTAATCGAGATTCTACTGTACACTGTTATTTTTAGAGTCCGGCTCATATTATATGTACCTAAAAGTTATAGAAACACCTTTTTCTACTTCATTTCTGTTGTTTTTGCCTCCTGATCACAAATTTAAATTAATCTAGAGGTTAAAATACCTTTAATCTGTCAATGTGATCTAATTTCACCGATGAGCGGCGACCGGTTTCAGCCCAGCTGTGGGGCCATCTTCAGGCGATGAAGGAACATTTAAATATCACTCCGAAGAGGTTGTCATAAAGTCTATAAATACATCATGAGAAACAACACATAAATACATTTTTTACAAATACACGTGTGGCCACAAATTAACTGCGTGGCAGACGGTACGTGTACATTTAAGCTGCTAGTCCAGACTGTCGTCACTGCCATCATGTCCATCTGCCATCCCCCTCCCCTTCCTCCACAGTTCTTATCAGGTCCTTTCCGTGTTGTTACTATTCTTTCAATGCCGACTGCTGTTTCATACAATAAATTACTTTCAAAAGAGGCTTTTTCGTTTAAAATATGTTCGGGAAATCTACAAAGCTGGCAAGAAAAATCCCTAACAGATTTTAAACTAAAAAGCTTCTTTTGAATACGGCATATAGCAGTATATTAATAATTTGTTTACACTTCAAGATGGGTAGCCTCGGATTACCGAGATATATTATATATATGCTAGGCAGAGTAGAGACTTAATCTCCCACCAATTGTGTCTCAAAACAATGTAAACTTTCGTCGTGCGAGTTGTATGTTTGTTTTAAATGTGTGTGGAATTAGATGATCTTTCCTAAGAATCACTGTACCCGTGTGGCTAAGCCAAGAGACTGGATATAGCTAATGTTTTTATTTACATATGATTTATAACACATGATATTTTTTGTGATTGTAAATAATCTATTATTGTTTTAAATGAAAACTAAACTTGACTTTATTCATTTAACCTAAACTAAATTCAATTTGTAAAACTAATGCAATTCTTAACTCATATTTATATTTACTAATTACCAAGAAACTTGAAACTGAACTATTAAACTTTACTCAACTAAATTTATATCCACGCTTCCACACTAAAACTTTTAAATGGACAAGAAAAACCTTAATCCTCAATATAATTTTGCGACAACCCATTCTTCTAATACATGATGATAGCTCCAAAGCGAGCCAAAACTATTTGCCACTGCAACCAATAGGATTACCAGCAATACAGGTATTTAAAGAATAATTTGTTGTGTTTTTCTGTCTGCAGTAGAGGCAGGCCTGCAGTACAAACAGGCATGGAAGCTGAGTGGGAAGAATGACCCAGCCTTGGGATTTAAACTTGCATTCAACCAAGTGAAGGCCAAGCGATACGCAGATGCTATCAGCACTTGCCACGCTGTGCTGCAGCTCAACCCAGACTACCCTCGGATACGTAAGGAGATCTTGGACAAGGCCATGAATCATCTGCGCACTTAAGGTACTTAACATTTCCCACCTTGTCCCACTTGTCTCTATTTGTTTAGTCTTAAAGTGATTGTGATGCTCAATATCTTGTCATGATACGGAAAATTCAAAAGTTCAGAAACGTTCCACCTGTAATACTGTTTTTACAACTTTGAACACTTTGAAGTTTTGACAATTATGTTGACTCGCATAGCTTATATTACTGTAATGGAATGGCATATGATTTAGTAATTATTTGTATGTTTACTCATACTAGCGAACCTGGCACACTAAATCGTGTGCAATCTAGACATAGGAGATGAGGGATTTGTATTAATCTTATTTATTTGGTGTTTTCGAGTATCTTGGTTTTGATGTTAAAGGTGGAGATGGTAAAAGGTCTAATTGATTTTGCAGTTTACTTGCAAAGAGTGCCGCACCGTTTTTGCTTTTTTTGTGAAAGTCAGTACCTATAAGATTCTCTTTTGATTAATCGACGATAACCTAAACGATGAATTAAAGCCCCTCGTTCCCATCACCACTCCTGGCTTTAGTTTGGGCCTAATTTTCCAGGGGGACTAATTTTCACCCATGTCGTTATCAGCTTTTGTGACATAGCGCACAGCAGGGGGTAAAACTTGACGAAAATCGGTTAATTTTTACCTATTATTTAATTACTAATGTAGGCCTACTTTATTGGTAATGTATTAATAATCAGATTGGTCGATTTTTGTCAAATTTTACACCAAATTTATTGAAATTTCAAGGTGAATATCAATAAAACAATTATTACCAAATATTTTTATTCATTTCAAAGATTGATTTATGGTATTGGGTTCCCCACTGAGTGCAGCCGAGCGGCACTAATGAGGGTTAAACCGCCTTAGGGGTGGACAATAGACGGCTTATCAGACCCATGGTCTGGTGAAAGCTTGTAAAAAAACTATTGCACAAGCGTGATTTGACCTTGGGCTGCTTCAACTTTAATTTTGTCAAATGAACTGTGATGTTTCAAAATCAAAAACAATAATTTGGGGCTATACTGCATAACAATAATGGACTGCAATTGTTGAACATACAATCCATTTTCAACAAACTAAGATTACGATTCAAATACAATTTAAAAAATTATCTTGGTATTTTACTTGGGGTAATGAAGTTATGTAGGCTAGTGTAATTCTCAGTTCATCAAGGTTCTACTGAATTATGTTTGGCAGTGAATAAGTGTAGAATGAAATTTATAAATTCAGGGAAACACACCTTTTACAGAGTTATAAAACCTAATTAATTGCCCTAATTAACTTGCCGATTTGAGCTAGAGCCCAGCTTAGTGCATTAGTGGTTTCCTAAACTTGGCAAACCCCAGAATGCCACTTAAGGCCAATAATCCGTTCAAAAAACGTAAGGAAATACAATGTGAAAATAAACTTTGTCTTGTGAGAACCAGGAAACAACATAAAACATAACCTCAAGTAAACAAGCCCAAACATTTGATATCAGTCACCTGCTGAGCTAAAGTGTTGTGTGAAGATTTCTGACTGCTAGTGTACAATGATAACTAGTGACAATAATAATGTTCTGCAATTGTGTGAGATGTTGCAGACTACACCGCTTTTGCAGGAGAAGATGATCTCTTTGCAGTGCCCCCAGTACACTCTCGCCGAGACGCTCGCCGAGGCGCCTCGCCGAAGCGCTCGCCGAGTAATTCGGGCGAGAGCTTATGCGAGGTAACCGAGTACACTCTCGCTTTGTCTCGCAGTCGAAATGGAGGCAAATTTCGACGTGGAAGTAGCGCTCGTCACTCATGCAGTCTCGGGTCCTTTGACTCGTGTCAAAAAACCGACTCCAGACGGAGCGCCGGCGAGCACGAGGCGAGGCGAGGCGACCCGAGTCAAGGCGAGAGAAGACGAGCGCACCGAGTACACTCCGAGAGTGTACTGGGGGCACAAGAGATGTACATGATTTGGCCAAAGTGAAGAAGAATGTAAAAATCCTGTCCAATCCCAAACTGAAAGTACAATCTTGTCCAGCCCTTATTGTATGACTACTGTAACATTTTCATTTAAATCATAATCAATCATCAACGATGAACAGATATTTTTGAACTTAAAAAATGTATTGCATTTGGTTTTGACCTTTGCTAGTAATTTTGCACGTTGTTTTTATTGGTTCAAAATTTTCATAAATGTTGTGGAGTCGAGTAAGTGTAATTCAAACAATCTTGAAAGAGAAGTGTGTCTGTTTCACAAAAAATCTCAGCAGTTTCGTTTCAAAAATAAAAATGCCAAAATTTCCAATTTCAAAACTTTTGAATCTCGAAACTCACCTATCAAATCTTGAAACCGAAACTTTTCTTAAGTTTTGATGGTTTTGAGATTTGATATTTGGTTTTGACACATCACTAAAAGGAACTATATTTAGTTATCCAGTTTCATCCATTGTATGTGATTGCACCTGCATTCTTCTGTATGAGAAAATAAAACTTGAGAGACAAAGGAAATAATTGAGACGTTTAGGAAAGTAGCTAGGGAAATAGGAAGAACCAAGGATACATACAGGCTTTTAAATTGAAAAAAAAAAACAAACAAAAACAAAGAAAGAAAAGGAATGAAAATTTCCCCATAAAGGGGAGAGGAAAGGTTAGAGTGATTCCTAATGATTTTTATTGCTCAGGGTTGTTAGGGTAAGGGAGCCATGCTGTTAGGGTTTTGGACACATAGTGTGTCTGGACAAGGATTGGCTAAGATGCCAAGTGGCCGAAGCCTAAGAAGAAAGATTTTTCGGGGGGAATAAGCCTGACAAATAAGTCCCAGACTTAAGCCAGAGGTGGTGGTGGTAACGAGGGGCTTTGGTTTATCATTTAGGTTATCATCGATTAATCAAAAGAGAATCTTTTACTGACTTTAACAAAAAACTGCAAAAACAGTGTGTTAACTGCGAACTCAATTAGGTCTTTACAATCTCCACCTTTAACAACAAAACCAAGATACCAGAAAACACCAAATAAAAAAGATCAATAAAAATTCTTCTTCTCCTATGTCTAGATTGTGCACGATTACGTGCACCAGGTTCCCTAGTAATCATAAAACTTTAGAATCTTGGGAGCAGAATCTGTACCTCCCTCTGCTTTGGAAGCCCATGGGGCATAGCCCAAGGGATATAAGATAACAGGAATATACATTAATCAGGTTTAAGCTACCTTCATACAAAATTTTATTTAAATCGGTTCAGTGGTTCTTGCGTTATTGAGTAGCAGTCAGACACTCACAAACAACCATCTCATTTTTATATATTACTAGCTGGCCCGACAGACGTCGTCCTGTCCTAATGTGGTTTTATGTCAATGCTTGTTCATTTTCAAGATGAGCTCATTTGCATGGCTCAGTCATGTCCTGGTTGAAGTTCGTTTGCTATGCTTATTCACCTTTAGGTTGGAGCTCGTTCGCTGCGCTCACTTGCCTTCAGCTTATCTCGTTCACTACGCTAACTCGCCTCCAGGTTGAAGTTCTTTCGCAACGCTCACTCACCTTTTGGTTGCAAATTAGCTGTTGTCATAAATAAAAAAAAAATAATAGTGCTATCACCCTGTTGGTAAACATATTAACTTTTTAATGCTAATAAACATCACAGAATCAAATTGTTTAGTTGAACCAGCTGTTAAGATTCTTTAATTTAGTTTAAATATGAGTACTCATAAGGTTAACATGGGAAACTCCAGAGCCACTGGGCGGAGCCCTTTTGACGGATCTGCACCAAACGTCACACAAACCATCCTTGAATAGGCCTAATGCTTAATAATGCCTGAAAGTTTCATTACAGTCTGTCGAGCGGTTTCAGAGTCCATAAAGGAAAAACAAATCAAATCAAATCAAATCAATCAAATCAATCCATCTTTATTCCGAGACAACACTGTACAAAAATCATACAATGCTGTATAGGCTGCGTCAATATGTAAATTAATAAAACATTTCAAAGGTCAAACCAATTGTCAAAATATTCATCTAAGTCATAAAAACAGTATTTCAATAACAAATTCTTAACAGCTATTTTAAATTTATCTAATGGTAACTCTTGAATATAATATGGTAGATGATTGAATAACTTAATCGAGGAATATTTAAAGCTTTTTTGAGTAATACTATAAGTACAGTAATAATTTCTTAGTTTAGCACAGTTTCTGGTCTTATAACTATGGACATCACAGTGGGAAGACAAAGTGTTTAAGTTCTTTTTACAATACATAAGACAGTGAAATACATTGGATTTTATATACAGTATATAGATTTAGTAATAGTGATAGTAATTATTTCTATGTTTACTCATATGGCTATGGTTACTAGGGGTTACTATGTTGTTGACTTGTTTTGTGTGAGTTTTTAAGTTAGTTAGAAGTTGAATAAAAGTTCTTTTAAGAATTAGTTATATTCTATCTTTACAATTACCTCTCCATGTATTTTAATATTTAAAAAACTGTTAAAAACACTTAACTAAACTGTTATACTTAATTGCCATTGTATCACAGTGTTTTATTTGCAGGTTTTCTCAAGACCAGTATATAGCAGATCACATGTTTAGGTTCAATCACTTGAAGATCTTCACACAGCACAAGCATATTTTGGCTCTCATAATGTGATTCTTGGATTTAACAACCGTGAATAATGTGTACTGTCTCACAATGTATAGAACTGTTGTATTACAACATGCCTATTGTTAGTTTCATTTGCTGATAGACAAACTTTTCTCCTACATTGTTCTATGATGTTTGTCAAAAGCAGTCAGCTGTACACAAATGATATGATCTTTGTATATTTCATGTGTGGTAACAATGTAATATCACTCATATACCACGTAAAACCACTAATATTACTGACTACTCATTTAATAAGAAAATTGCTCAGATCTACCACAATGTGTGTTATACTGCAATTGTATACATCAGATTCAATTCACAGTTCACACTCAAGAGTGATTGTGCAATTAGTTTACATTCAACTATAGCAGTAACAAGTTATCAGTATCAACTATAGTAGTACGCCTCTTATGTTGTCAAATTTCATTGAACATGACAAGAGTTGTTAAAAAACATGTCATAATTTTGTAGGATCATTAATAGTAGGCTAATGAGTGTAAACCCTACCAAGCAACAATAATCAATATGGTTCAAATAATCAGACGCTTAAACTATAAAGTATTATTTTTATAAAATACTGTTACGCAATTAGCAAAAACTTATTTACCAAACACAAATAATAAACTAGTTTTGTATACACAACCTTTTTGACACTATTAGTAGTCTTCAGGACATTTTCTTAGGTTGCCTATGCCCGCTTCAAGTAGTTGTTACATGTGTTAGAGAAGCCTAATCATTAGGGCCTAATGTAAAATTTTTTTTATTTTTGTGTATTATCTCTCAAAAGGTCACTAAGGTCCAAGTTAGATGAAAAGGTCACTTAGTTATTTCTTATGCAATGTTTCCAAAAAATTGGCAGGGTTTCAAATGTCTAAATAACAGATTGTCAATGAAGATTTGCCATTTTTTATATATATATGTATATACTCTGCCTCCCACCCTCAATTTAAGAGTTTCCATATTAATTATCTGATTTAAAAATATCTAGCTAATATCATTGAATAATAGTTACCGGTACCTTATTTCATTAAAAAAATTTATATAATTAAAAACATTCACAAAAAAAATTCCTTTTGAAAGTACACTTGTAAAAAGTAAAGCACAATACATAAAATTGATTATTATTAAGACTTGTAATTTTTTTTTAATCTGTTCAGTTAAATTGTCCTAAGTTCAAATTTGAAAAAGAAAATGTTGATTAATATGTTATTTACCTACTCCAACTAATATTTTACACGCCAATAACCAATGTTTCTCCAACTGTGCAGTAGATGATGAATGACAATAGTTCCGTCCAAGTGAGTGCCATCAGTTTAAAACTAAACGATTGCTACTGGTTACTTCCAAACAATACGTTAAATGTTTTATGATATTTTAATTTATATTTACATAATGTTATGATATTTTAAAACTAAAATACGTTCTAAAATAGGTATTTTACATCAATTGGAATTCATATGTAACTATTGACTTGGGTTTCTTTCAAATGACAGTCACAACACCTGATGCTTGGGCGAGTGCACTATTGTTTTAATATCAACGTTATGATTCATAAAAATGCAATTTATAAAAATTGGTGTAAAATATTGGATAATATATTCAACGTAATCCGGAGGCTAACATCAACAATGCAATTTATAAGTATAAAGAAAAATATTTTTAATCAAATTCAAACAGAGTATTTTATAGTTCAACCAGATCTTTTATACCTTTCTTTAGTAATTTTTGAAAAACTTCCTAATAAAATAGTGATGAAGGACAATCAACATTATTATGTTAACAAGTTAACAATTTCTTTTAAAACTAGATTAACACAAACTATAGCTGACGGATGTGGATATCTTTCTAGCGTTACAAATATTTGACATAAAACTACTATGGTAAATGGCAAGAATCGCTGTTCAAGTTTTTGATAAGGACATTGTGTTCTAAGTCACTGTAGTTATTTTTTTAGTCCATTATTATAAACAACTTTTATTATAACATTATTTAAAGGTTGTCATGAAATGTGTTACCATATACAGTAGGATCTTTTTTAGCTAGAAGCAGTTAAGTTATGGTGGATTATCTTTAATTCTTTATCTGTAGTTCGATCATGTGTCATCATCGTCTACGTTCAACGACGTGATAAAACAACTGCAGGATGAGGTGTTAAAGCTTCACAAAAAGGTCGAAGAAATCGACGGAAAACTGGTCGAAAAAACTGATGAGTTGGAGCAATACCAACGGCGCAATAACGTCCGGATATTCGGGATAAAAGAGCGCGACAATGAAGATACAGACGCTCTGGTGACTGAAATCTGCCGCGAAAAGCTCGGGATCGACCTTCCGGTAGACGCCATCGCGAGATCACAACGAGTCGGCAAACACCAGGAGGCGGGAGAAGACGGCCGACCTCATCACCGGGGGATAATCGTAAGGTTTACCTCCTATCGAGCTCGGCGGATGGTGTACCAGGCGAAGAAGAAACTGAAGGGGACCGGTGTCGTTATCAGGGAGGACCTGACTCATCTTCGCCAACAAGTATACAACAGGGCGGTGTCGTTATATGGGAAGACGAGCGTCTGGACCCAGGACGGCAGAATTCTCTGGATCGATGGCAACGGCAAAAAGGAGGTGGCTACGCAGTTGAGGGACCTACCTGCTCGGCCGCCTGACAACACCACGGACAGCACTGATAAGAACACGTAATTTGAACTATAATATCAATCATACAAGTTTTACAAGTAAAGTACTTTTTTCTTTAACTTAAAATATCAATACGTTTTACACAATGTTTAATCAAGATTTCACAGTTTTACAAGTTGAATTTTTAATGAAAGTTGTTTTTAAGTTGGAAGTTCAAGTTATTTATTATTTTGTTTTACTATCATTATTTAGGATTTTGTCACAGTTGAGTATTGTTACAAATGTGAATATGACGTAAACATTAGCTTACTTAGTTTATTTTTATTTTTATTAATTTATTTTTTGTATACTTATTTATTAAACAAAATTAGAAATTACTAGATTCATTGCCAGATCACGGCATATCAATGATAATTATTTCAAATGCTTATACTGTAATACCAATCATTATTTTAATTTATATAAAACCATGACATTCGTATTTTAAATAACTACATTTATCATACATTTACTATATACAATTATTATTATTATTTGTTTTATCACATGTATTTTATTTTAGTATAGGATTCGATCCCTGTTTTAAAAGCCTGTTTAAAATTTTTAGTTCACTTCAATTTGTGTACATTTAATTTTGAATAAGGACCTGAAAGCTAATCGTGTTTGTTCGTCAGTAATGAATGCTAAAGTTTTTCTCTATAATAGCTTAGATATGTTAATTACTGTGTGTTATATCCCCGAGTATGTGTGTGTCTGTGAATGTGTCTATTGCAGCTACGCCGGTGCGCGTCGTTGAGAGCTCCCAAGCCCAAACAAAAACTTATCTCTTACAGAGATTTTAGAAATTTTAATGAAGCAAATTTTTGTCTGATGTAAATTTAACACCTTGGCACTCCATACCTACATACTCTGGAGTCAGTTGATGATATGGTCGATTCACTTAATGAAACCATTTTAAAATTATATGACAAGCACGCTCCAATTGTCAACCGTAGGGTTAGTAAAAGTCGATCCGTTCCTTGGATTAGTGAGGAGATCATTGGCGTAATGGCTCGGCGGGACTCAGTCCATCGCAGAGCCAAAAGAACTAGGGATCAGGGGCTCATGGCCCACTACTGCCAGCTTAGAAATCAAGTAAAACAACATTTACTTATTGCTCGACTCCAATATTTTCATAGATTGTTTTCTGAAGGAAAGCAATCCTCTGCTGTTTGCTGGCGTAATCTAAAACGTTTTGGATTTGGAAAGCAAGTTAAAGTTGTTCCCATATCAATTCCCTTGAACGATTTAAATAATTATTTTTTATCAGTTTCATCACAGGCAAACGGTACAATAATTCAGAACCATTTAACTGAGTTAAAATTATGTCCCTTGCCAAATTCCATCACAAAATTTAACTTCAAGCCAATATTGCAAATTGATGTTTTGAAGGCTATAAGGCGGTTAACGTCTGACGCCACTGGTTCTGACAGAATCCCAATTTCTTTAATTAAACGAATCTTGTTTGCTCTCCTTCCAACATTAACTTTCATATTTAACACTTCACTAAGATCAGGTATTTCCCAGAAAAGTGGAAGTCTGCGCTTGTCCGTCCCTTGAATAAAATCTCATCCCCATCTCTCCCGCAAGACTACAGACCAATTAGGATTCTTCCCGCCCTTTCTAAAGCACTAGAAAGAGTCATTTACTCTCAAGTTTCTGATTTCTTGGCACAAAATAACATCCTCAATAGCTTTCAATCAGGTTTTCGTAAATCATACAGCACTGAAACAGCAATGCTTCATGTAACTGATGACATACGATTTGCTATGGATCGCATCCAATGTACTATCTTAACATTATTTGACTTTAGTAAAGCCTTCGATACCGTAAACCATAGCATTCTCCTAGCCAAACTCCAACTTTTAGGTTTTTCTGATAATTCACTAAAATGGATGAGATCATATCTTCAGAGCCCAAAGCAGTGTGTGTGTCATGACAACTTGACGTCCGACTGGAGACATGTTCCCTGCGGAGTTCCCCAGGGTTCAATTCTTGGTCCTCTGCTTTTCACCATTTATCTCAATGACATCAATACAGTTCTACACCATGTAAAGTTTCATTTGTACGCTAACGACTTGCAAATCTTTTCTCATTTTAAAGTGAGCGATGTAAGTGAAACTATACACTTGATGAACCACGACAACGACAGAATTGTACAATGGGCAGAAAGGAATGGACTTAGACTCAATGCTGACAAGACAAAGCCAATCATCATAGGTCACACACGGTTACTCAACAAAGTGGACTTAAACATTTTACCAAAAATCACTGTAAACGGAACCACTTTGCAATACCAGGACAAAGTAAAAAGTCTTGGTTTGACTTTAAACCGAACATTGGACTGAACTGACGCTGTGGTAAGCACTTGTAAAAGAGTGTTTGCCGCTGTGCACACACTGAAGAAGATGCAACGACTTCTACCTTTTCACATTAAACTCTTACTGGTCAAATCACTCGTGTTTCCACACTTCAACTACTGCAACACTGTGGTTAATGATATGACTGTGGTTTTGGCAACAAAATTACAAGTACAAAATTATTGTGCTCGATTCTTGTTCAATCTTAGGCGTGATGACCATGTCACACCCTATTACATTAATGAATCAATTTTGAAATTAGAAGACATCAGAAAAATAAGAATACTTTTCATTACTCATTCGGCCATCAATCTTGGAATTCCAAATTATCTTGCAAAGAATTTTAAATTTTTGAATGAAAGAGGCGCAAGGGATACCCGCTCTGGCTCGTCCACGCTTTGCATTCCTCATCACAGAACAACTGTTTATAACAAATCATTTTTAGTAACAGCATGCCGCCGATGGAACTCCATACCTTTTCACGATAAATCCATAGAAAACCGATCCCGACTGATGGTGACGCTGAAAGGATATTACCTTGACCGGATGGCCGTGGCTTGGCGGGATGGCGTGTGTTAGGCCTAGATGCAACAGAGGGTGTACGTGTGTGTGTGTGTGTGTGTGTGAATGTATGTTAGGGAAGATTAAATAAATTATGATATTTTATAACTTGTTTTGTTACAAACTGTGTTGTATTTTTGTTAATATTTTGTTGTTATCATTAGTTTTTTAGAGGTTAACTGTAAGAAAGGACCATGAGGTCCTAAGTTCGCCTCAATAAAGAAGGATTTTCATTTCATTCATGTGTTCAAACATGTCAAATTTTGAGGTTAAATCAAAACAAACATATTGGCATATTATATCTATTTCTATATCTATATCTATATACTTATTTAATACGCAAGCAGGTTTTTTTGTGACAATTACTCCTCCGAAACTACTGAACCGATTGACATGTTTTTGGTGTCATTGAAAAGAGCGTAACATAAAGTTGTGCAGGAAACTTTCTTTTTAGGGAAATAATTAGAGAGTGAGGCCCTGGGGCCCTTTAAAGTTTCATATTTCTCCATAAGATTAACATGGGAAACAAACATTGTTATAAAACTCCAGCTGTTGTCAGAAATTAAAAGTGAGAAGAAGAACATATGTTAAATGTAAACAGTCAATGTTAAGTTTGCTAATTTAACAGTTTGCTACATTAGTCTGGTTGCAGGTCAAAAAACCTGGAAGTAAGGTCCACCCGATGTTTTTTAGTGGTTTCTGTTTCTTCAAGACCTACATAATTAAAATAGGCAGGGTGCCACTTTGTCACCCTTGAGCAAATTGAGATATTCAAGATGGCGGCCAAGATGACTTAAAAACTATACAGGGTCAGTAAAAAGTGTGGAGACCCGCTGTTATTTTTTTAACGGCCCATACTAGAAAAACTAAACTCGGCACACCATTATGGCATGTTGTGAAGTACTTTTTGGGCATAACCGCCACTTGGTGTTCATCCCCAAAATGGGGGATTTTGGGGGAAACTCAAAAATTTCAAATACAAAGACCCATTGAGTGACCCCTCATTTTAAAGGTCCTGGTAAAAGAAAACCAACAACGCAAATTAGAGGTCTCTATCTCAGTTTAGTAAAAAATGGCAGCCAATTAAAATTCTCATAAGTTCCCAAACTCAAAAAGGGGGATTTTGGGGTAAACTCAAAAATTTTAAATGATAAGCCCCATCGAGTGACCCCTCATTTTGAAGGTCATAATTAAAGAAAACTAACAACGCAAACTATAGATCTTTATCTTAGCACAGTAAAATATGGCAGCCAATTGAATATAAAATTGCAAGTTATTTCTGATTTCTAAAGATTTCAATCAGCTTCCATTTTTTACTGGATTAAGATAGAAACCTCTAGTTTGCGTTGTTAGTTTTCTTTAACCAGGACCTTCAAAATGAGGGTCGTCACTCGATGGGGCTTATCATTTTAAACTTTTGAGTTTCCCCCAAAATCCCCCATTTTGGGTTTGGTAAGCAAAAGGCTATTAGGCTTAAAAAACTTCATAACATGCCAAAAAGGTGTGTAGAGTTTAGTTTTCCTAGTGTGAGCCGCTACAAAATTTAAAGGGGGTCTCCAGATATGGAAAGCTGTAAGTTAAATTTAACTTCTGAGAATTTCAATTGGCTGCAATTTCTTACTGGATTGAGATAAAGACCTCTAGTTTGCGTTGTTGGTTTTCTTTTACCAGGACCTTCAAAATGAGGGGTCACTTGATGGGTCTTTGTGTTGGAAATTTTTGAGTTTCCCCCAAAAGTACACCAAGTGACTGACGGTTATGCCCAAAAAGTACTTCATAACATGTCATAAAGGTGTGCCGAGTTTAGTTTTTCTAGTATGGGCCATTAAAAAAATAACAGGGGGTCTCCACACTTTTTACTAACTCTGTATATCTGCTGTATCTTTCCCTATAGAAGAGACAGGATAATCATTTTGTGCCTAGTTTGATGTTTTAATTGGAAAATTACCCAAAATAATAAATCAATATAAGTTTTTAATAATTTCCACATTAATTTGTTGCCAAGTTACCTTATCAACAATGTTTTCAAGTATTTACTTGACTAAAAACATTATAAATCCATGGTTTCTGAGGATAAGTGCAACATTCAAACATAACACAGTCGTAAAATCAGTTAACTTATACAAGCAGTTCTCCTAATTGATGCTTGTGCTGTACTGTGGACAGTGCATTATCCTTCTTCAGGAACTGTGAATGACTTTATCAACTGCTTTAAATTATAGTTTTCTTGAATTAAGAAAAAAACACAGTTCTTTAGGCTAGTCAAAATACGGTCCAACATCAAACTTAAGGTAAAAGAAATAAAATATATTTCTTCCCCATATATTCCAAAATATATGGGATTTTGTCAACAAAGGTGTCAAGAATATTATACTAAAAATCAAGAAAAATCCAAGTGGCGGAAAGCCACCATTTTTGAAAAAACTTCCGCCATATTGGATTTATGTAAGCTTTTAGTAAAACATCAATAATTTGACAACAAAATCGTCTTAACAATCTGCGGTTTGTCTTAATAGCTTCCTCATCAAGTTTACTTTAAGATAATAATAACTTTATACCATTTAAATATTGATTTATTTAAAAGAGACAGCTTTAAATAGAAACAATACCAAATTTCGAAGATTTTCTTTTGTAAAACCTTTAAATGTTTGCAAATACAAACTTAGGTGATAAGAAAATTCATATTTTGTGGCTCTTAAATGAATCTGCATACAATTTTGAACAATTATCAACCTCATATCAGTTTGTATATTGCTTTGAAGATATATTATGGGATATAATTGCTATTAGTCTTCAACTTGGAACGCTAGCTGTGCTGCACCACTACATCTAGTCCGATTAAAATACACTTTGAGGTGGGAAAAATTGCTTTGAGAACATTTAAGACATATTTTGGAATCATACATTCATACATATAGGGGGCTATGTATAAAAAAATCCAACAAAATCCGAGCATGGGAACATGTATGTATTTACTCGGGGTTTTATGGGGTAAAAATTGGTTTTTCTAATTTTTGACCCTCTAAACGCAAAATTTTCCAATTTCTCTTCAGACCTTTTTAAAGAGCTTAAAAAAACAAATAATTTAGTACAGTATATCAAACCACAGTATTTAGTAATTTAGTACAGTGTTTTTGTACCATTATTAGTTACGGAGAAAATTCAAATAATTGTTATTTTAAAATTCCCATGTTATTCTTATGGAGAATATTGTAAAATGTTGTAGTCTGCTTGTTTATGGATATATTTTGATTAAACTTGGTAAATTTATTTATTTTATACTAAGTTATTAATATTTCATTAAAAAATACATTTTTTACCCTCCCAGTAGCAGGAAGCCTATGTACTCATAAAAATTAATGTTAATTAAATACATTTAATTAAAAATCAATTCAGGCAACTGGAAATTCGCTTAGTCGGCAGGTTTGCTGCGGCGGAGGTATTTTATTACTAAAATAATCAATTATTGGTATTCTCTGTCTCTTAAAACATAAAATTAGACACAAAAATTATTATCCTGTCTCTTCTATAGGGAAAGATACGGCAAATATACAGTTTTTAAGCCATCTTGGCCGCCATTTTGAATATATCAATTTGCTCAAGGGTGACAAAGTGGCACCCTGCAGATTTTAATTATGTAGGTCTTAAAGAAACAGAAAACACTAAAAAACATTGGGTGGACCTTACTTTCAGGTTCGGGTGAAAAATGCCTTTTGGCAACTAGACTACATTTACTGACTTGGTTGTAATAAAATATATACTATTTGAATGTGGGTTGACGTAAATATTACAATGGAAAAAAGCGAGAGAGCCTGAATAATTTGATATACTAAAAAGAAAACTGAATTAACACGGTTTTGCATTTTTTAGAATCATTGAAAGAGCCGATTTGCAAACTATGGAAACATAGGAAAGTCATAGAACACCACCAAGGAGAAGAAATATAAATAATGTTTTTTTTTTTTTATTTGTAATCGTTATTATGGACAACCTAAGTTACTATGAGTAAGGCTATTTGTAGAAAAAATACTTAAAAAAATCAGCTTTTGAAAAATGAATGAATGAATGAATGAAAAAAGTGCTTTATTGTACAAATTACATAATAGTCTACCTCCATATGTACAACATATACAACACTAATTTGCACATAAAATAAAATACATAGGTACTGCTAAAATAAAAACCTAACACTTATTAAACAATGGTCAATGTTGACCGTCTGTTTGGTTGGCAACATACATACCTTCTCCTTAACACAAAAAAACAACACTTAAAAATACACTTTTAACTTCATTTACAAAAACATTTTTTTTTATATATATATATACATAAGGAAAAAACAATTAAATAAGTAACGTCTAACTGTCATTTTTGAAAAATGATAAGATATCTAAAAGAAAAGTTTATTATATCGATCTGTTATGTACATCTTGAGTATTTCCATAATCTTTGAGTCAAATCTTTTAAAGACATCAGAAATTATGACTGTTATTCGTTTTATAAAATAACACCTGTAATACTTAGCAATTTCTCGAATTCAACAACAGGTACACTAGTTGTCTATTAGTGGCCGTGTTGTATTATTTTAAAAGAAGATTCACTATTTTAATATTGGCTTAATTATTTAGAAAACAATCACTTATAATTTGGAGACAATAATTCAATAACAACTCATTCATTAGTTGATTTGGAATTAGGAATAACGTTTATATTTCACAGTAAATATTTTATAACGGGCAAGTGATTTTATAAAAATGGAGTAATTTTATAAAGTAAGTTAAATTGTTCAATGTAACTATTGTCCATAAATGACAGTTTGTTTGTTTTGATTAAACAAAAAATTTGAAAAGTATGAACACATGATCGCTCTACAAACAAAGAGGTTGATAATCCACCAATACCTTAACCGCTTTTAGCTAAAAAAAAAATCAAACTGTACTCTTTATTCATGTTTATGTTGATTCATTCTGTACACAATTTATCTCTCGACTTTTGACATCTTATTCAGTCACTCTCTTCTATGCACTTTGTATGTTGTGTATAAATACTCGATATTTAGCATTCACATTAGATCAAATAAGACTGGGTTAGGTTTAAACATTATAAGCTTGCTGGATAATTATTGCACAAATATGCATTTAAATATGTATAGGTACTCTAACTATGGGCTAGCTTTTGCAATTTTGCACATGTGTATTATACCCAATAAACGCTAGTAGCAAAGACTGAAAACTTAGATTTTGTTCCCTTTTTTGTCCATTATTTTATAAATTTGATTGAAAGGTGTACTGTTTGATGATGGCTCAATTTTAATGGAAAGGGTTCAAAAATCACCTTTTTTTTTGTAATGGAGAATATTTTTGTTACATTTTACAAAATATTCACTTCTTCCCACAGATAATTGTGTTGGTGTTGGACCATTTGTATCCGATTGGTAAGTTCCAAATTTGATTTGGTAAGCTGAATGATGATTGATTCATGTGGATACTGACAAGGCCCCACTAGAAAAAAACAGGCTATGCTGCAGGATCCATGACGTCACACTAGTGGATAGATTTCATTGATAAATTCATTGCCATCACCATTCCCATATGTTTTAGGTAAATAAACAAGCTGGCTGTTTGTAAGATTTTAATGGTAAGAATTTAGTACAATCATCCACCATTATGACGTACTGTTGCGCTGCCCGCGCTGCAGCATGGCCTTTTTTTCTAGTGGGGCCTTGATACTGACCCTAAAAAAAGATTGTTAGGTTGTTGAAATGGCTGAAACATCCTTACAACTAAACTTCAGTATAATCCAAATTGCTCTTTTGTTGTACATTTTAATTTTATCTAAGCTCCATTATTTTCTTGATCCGTAGAGTGCTAAAAGAGATATGTGAATTATAATACACATTGTCAAAAATAAATTTTTTATATGTTTAACCCTTCCCGGACGGGCTAAATCGTGACATAGAACGGGAAAAAATTAGAGGAAAAAATAAAAATTAATTTTCCTTTTTTTTGTTTTGTTCTACAAGTATACATAAAATAAACAGTAAATAAAGACAACGTAATGTTGAGCGTGAAATGTCAAGAGAGGAGCCTAGGAATGGTGGTAGGTGCGCAGGAGGGGGCTTGACGCAGAAGAGGAGTTGGCGCATGAGAGGGGGGATAGTGGGGGAGAGCGCAGCCATGGAGAGAGCAGGAAAGTGGCGCCTTGGTACCGCGAAACATCTGGTTACTGCTCAAGCACCTGCCAGTCTGTCTGAAGAGAAGGCGGATATAACCGCTTCCCGTCCAGAACATCAAAAACCATAAGCAGATATATCCGTCACCCGTCCTTTATCGCCAAAGACTTAGGTGGATATATCCGTCACTCGTCCGTGAAGGGTTAATTTACAGCAAAAAGACAGGAAAGTAAAATTATTATGGAATCCAGAACCTTAACTTTAAGCAAAATGTTGATTACATATTACCGGTAATTAACTTACTGAACATTGTTCAAAATAATACAGACCAGTATTTTTCTATTTAATTGAGAAAAAATAATCTACTCCCATACAAAATTGTTAAAGGGCATCACTACTATATATTACTTTTGTACCTAGTCTTACCTGTGATACTTTTACTTCACCCATTTGTTGAGAAACAAAGGTAAGTCTTAGTAGTTAGTAGTTTAGCAGAACAAATATTGGTAAATTAAAGATTCAAATGAACCATTTGATGTACGGTATGAACAAACACTGCAAAACAATGTTTTATTTTTAAATACCGCAATTATTTAATAATTAAATTTATAATATTCAGTTAAT